TTTGCAGTCGAGCCTGGCGCCGTTCTTACTGTCTGTGCCCTCCGTGGCATTCGTGGCAGGACCATGGAAGAAAGTTCAAGTAGTCCGTAAACCGTAAAATAGACACCGTTGTGGTCGTTCCATGCGAAACAATCGAAATATGGCTCGTACTATAGAAAAACAGATTTCAGTTTTTACGAACTGGTACTCAAGTATCCGACTCTCATGTATTTTTTTCAGTCCGGATCAGATTCAGAAGGCGAGGGTTCTAGCGTCCGAAAAAGTGGCACCAACAATTACCAAGCACTTGCAGAGAAACCTCAGTTCAGTCTCAAACAGGTATGGTCAATTCATTCTCCTTGGTGGAACCGTTGTTTTGAAACTCCCAATTATACTCTTTAAGGTACGGATGATTTGCGAGCGTCTCCTAAAGGAGCAGGAAATGCGTCTGCGGTACGAGTATGAACTGGCTCTGAATCAGAAACTGGATGGTAAGCTCCTTTCGAGTTTTTCCTTCCTTGATGTTCCCCTTCTCATTATTCAATATCGCGATCAATGACCAATGTTCCAGAGCAACATGAACAGTACGTCCAATTCGCAAGCGAACAAATGGCTGCACAGTTCAAGGAGAATACAGCAGGAGAATTTTCATATCTTTCATAATGCATTGGCTCAAATTTTGCTTCAAGGTTACAGACATTTAAATTGGTATGTGTCGTGTTTTACTACTTGAGCGCTATTGTGAGGCGTCATTCTAGTTTCACGCATATGAATCTAATTGCCGTCGTTATTATAGTGTCTTCGAATTCAGGTCATCTATTTCCTATATTTTTATGTATATATCGATTTATGATAGGTATTGCCTCTCCTGTCATGATTTCTGAGCCCTTTTATGTGTAATCAGACAACCTGTTCCGTACGACAAATGTGATTTTTCTTTGTCTTGCATGTAGTTTTGACTCGATAAATAAATATTGTATGATACGACGATGGCTGTCTAGACGTTCTTTTCCGTGGCCGTGATGGTCTTTGCATTGTGCTATGACATTGCTGATATCGATTACTCATTTGTGTTTCTGCATGGAATGAAGTAAATTTATGGAGGTTCCCTGACCTAAATGTAGTGCTTCTGATCACATTGTACACAATGCAGTGGGTGTGGTCCGCTAGGACAGAAAGCGACTTCGCGTTTCGCAGCGCGAAACATTTTTCACTTCAGGAACCCCAGGTCCACTCATGATCTTGGATCTGAGGTTCCCGCAGCGAAAAGTGTTTCTCGCTGCTGAACGTGAAAGTCGCTCTGTCCTAGTGAACCACACCCTTATGTAGTCTCGTAGTTTCCCCGTGCCCGTCTATTTTGTTTTCTGTGCATCCATGGAACTCCCGCAACAACAACAGTGAGTGCAGCTGTAGCTAGGAAAGAAGCGTACAGGTGTGGTACTTGTTGTATCATAAGGTAATGCTCGACCTGGGCGTGAACCTTGAAGTACAAGAGGAGTGGGGTAAATAGAAGCACCTCTGTGCGCTATTGTGCTGGGCAGATAGCACCGCTGCTAGCCGTGAACGTAGATGAGCTTCATAGGTTCCGAAGGGGTCTACCTTGTAGGCGGCTGAGAAGTTAATGAACACATCTCCCTTCGATGTTTCAAATGGCTAGCTCAGAATTGGCGATATGGTGGCGATTAAGCGGAAGTTACCTATAGAAAGCTGGAATATGAGTTACTTGTCTTTTCCTAAGTGGTCTTGGTCTGGACGAGTTCATTGCTGTTGCGAATGTAAGTGCTGTATCCTCTATGCCACGCACTGGCATTAATTTGGGCCATGGTCTCGTCCAGATCGCCCATCTTCGTGGATTGGGGCGGCACTTGCGCGCACTGCACGAGTATCGCCGAATGTTGAGGTCTGAACAGGTCAGGGTTAATCACAAGATTAGCGTAGATGAGAGACAGTGAGCGTTCCTATCGGTGATGCTCCATCATGAGCACGCATCATGAGCTCTTTGCTCTCGTCTTTGTCTCCAACTGAGAAATACAACATTTTGATTTCCATCACAGCCATATCCCTGAAGA